CGCGGGGCCCCGACCCGTGGCCTCGAGCGACTGGGCCTTCCAGAGGCCAGGAGAGGCGTGGGGGTGGGCGGTGCGGAGGCCCCCTGAGGAGTGGGCCGGGCCTTGGCGCGCCCTCCTCGGACCCACCCCTTTTTCTCGAGCGTGCTGACTCGCTCGACAAACGACGATCCTGAGGGACGCCAGGCCTGGTTCTAGGCCCCGTGGTGCCGAGATCGACGGGCTCCGCCCTGGAATTGTTTGCCCACCCGGGGGGGAGACGAGTAATTAATAACGATCTCGCCAATGTGTGTGGCCCGTTTGCCGTTAACTATTCTAACTCGTGTTATCCTCCAACTCCGAGCTGCTAGAATGTCAGGGAGGCAGTTCCTACTCCACTCTGGCCTTAGGCCTGGGATCCGAGCCGTTTTCTCATAAGTAGAACGTGGATGACAGTGGCACCGACTCCGAGATCTGCCGTCATGTTTACATCAATGCAAGTGAAAAACTTAGATTGGTGCCTGGCATGGTAGAGGCTTATACGTGCGAGCTATTTGTTTACAGATGAGGAAACAGGCCGAATGGTTCTCCTAGGTATGACACAGCTTTGCTTAAGTAAGTAGAGGAGTAGGATGAAATGGGAGTTACGGCCAAGTGAAAATAGCTACTTTTGTGCCAAATTTGATATAAATTTGTCTTACTAATTGTAAGACCGAAAAACTAACAACAGAAGCCGGAAATATTAGAAAGACTCTGTGAAAGAAAATTTTTAAATTAAGAAAATTTTGTAGTATTCCTATTTGAGCTGGGCAGAGATAGCCATTATTAGATTTTCACAGAACAGCTCTGACTTACTGAGTATCAATATGCTTGGAGTTTGAGAATCACAGGCCTAGTAAGTTGGGTCCAATTGAGCAGTATGTGGGCTTGAACCCTGGTGAGAAGTGTTTGAGCATATAGGACTGTGAGATTTTGACGACTGCAAATTTCTGTTATTCCTGAAACCTTAAATGAGTCATTCGGGCTTTCTCCAGAGATGTCTTCAGAAAACCATACCTACCCCTATTTTAGTGTCACAGTAAAGTATTAGGAGACGGACATCCCTTCAGCCCCCAGCATTTTGAACATCTGTTAGGGGAGGATTATTATACCTATTTTTAAAAATTTAAAAGTCCTGCCGGGCTCCGTGGCTCAGCCTGTAATCCCGCGCTTTGGGAGGCCAGGTGAGTGGATTGCCTGAGCTGGCGGGTTTGAGACCTGCCTGGGCAACTTGGCGAGAACTCATCTCTACAATAAATCAAAAAATGAGCTGGGCGTGGTAGCGCGCCTGTAGTTCCAGCTACTTGGAAGGCTGAGGCGGAAGGATCGCCAGAGCCCAGCAGGTCGAGGCTGCGGTGGCCCGGAGCGGACACTGCCCTCCAGTCTGGGTGACAGAGTGAGACTCCAACTCAAAAAAAAAAAAACTTAAAGTCCTATTTGGGTGACCACACAGGAAACAACCTCTCTTTCCTGCAATCTGATGGAAAGTGTTCTAAGTTTAGAATCAGGAAATCTGATTTTATTACATATCATTTATATGACTTTGGATAAGCCACTCAAACCTTGAGCCTCAGTTTTTGCTTCTGTGATATGGGAGTAATAGATTCTATCTCACAGGATTATTTGTGTTACATGAATTGTATGTCTGGTAATACTGGGGCCCTATAAATTAGTTCATTCCAAACCTTTGGAAACTGATTTGTTTTTAACATGAAACTCTCTTAACAATAATTTGGTATAGATTTCTATTTTAATTCTTGCTGTATGCTTATACCCTGACTGATGTTCTTTAAGGATATGGCATCCTCTCCCAGAACTTTTAATATTTATTAAGTTAATGTGCTTTTCCTGTAATAAGTTAATGTTCAGGTACTACTACTACTACTACTACTATTATTATTATTATTATCATCATTGAGATGAGGACTGTCTATGTTGCCCAGGCTGGTCTCGAACTCCTGGGCTCAGCTGATTCTTCCACCTCAGGTATTATTTGGCAACATTAAAAATATATTTGTATCTATGCTTCTTGACAAGCTAGCAGCTTCTATTTACATGTGAATATCAACATGAATATATAATATGAGATATTAAAAGATATAATGTTTTGTGTTGAAATGTTGTCCATATGTCCTTAACTTTTTAAAACATATATCTGTAAAGACCCTGAAATAAATGATGCTACACAAGAACCAGTTAACTGTACAAACTACACAGCTCATGGTAAGCCTTCCAGAAACATGTCTTTAAAAATAATTTTTAAAACATTGTCTCATAAATCAATGTATGATCACTAAAGATATAAGTGTGTTTTTTTTCTTAAGCTGTGACATTATTATTCAGTTTCCAGAACAACTTAAAATTGGAGAACTGGCTAGGAATTGTCAATATTTAATTTTTTTTTTTTGAGTTAGAATCTCATTCTGTCACTCAGGCTGAAGTGCAGTGGCACGCTCATGGCCACTACAGCCTCCACCTGCTGGGCTCAGGTGATCTTTCCGCCTCAGTCTTCCAAGTAGCTGGGACTACAGGTGTGCTTCACCATCCCTGGCTAATTTTTTTGATTTATTGTAGAGATGAGGTCTTGCCAAGTTGTCCAGGCGCCTCTCGAATCCGTGGGCTCAGGCAGTCCCCTCACCTTGGCCTCCCAAAGTGCTGGGATTATAGGCGTGAGCCACCAGGCCCAACCAAATTTTTTTTTTTTGTTGAGTCATATTCTCACTGTTGCTCAGGCCACCACAGCAGCAACCCACTGGGCTTAAGAGATCCTTCTGCCTCAGCCTTCCAAGTAGCTGGAACCTCAGGCACGCGCCACCATTCCCAGCTACTTTTTAAAAAATTTATTGTAGAGATAAGGTCTCCAAGTTGCTCAGGCTGGTCTCGAACCCCTGGACTCAGGCAGTCCTCTCACTTCCGCCTCCCAAAGTGCTGGGATTACAGGCTTCAGCCACCACCTGTTGATGTTTAATTTAAAAATGAATCTTACTCTCTTAATTATGGAAAGTGGGAAGTTTTATGTTTTCTTTCTTTTTTTTTTTTGAATTGGAGTCTCACTCTTGTCGCCTAGACTGGAGTACTGCAGCCTCCACCTGCTGGGCTCCGGCGATCCTTCCACCTCAGCCTTCTGAGTAGCCGGAATTACAGGCATGTGCTACCACACGTGGCTGGTTTTTTGATTTATTGTAGAGATGAGGTCTCGCTGCCCAGGCGGGTCTCGAACCCACGGGCTTAGGCAATCCACTCACCTCAGCCTCCCAAAGGCGTGGGATTACAGGCTGAGCCACCAAGCCCGATTTAATTTTTTAAACATTTGGAGTCAGTTTATACAGCTTTCTTGATGCCTTCCATTTCCCAAACAATGTTATATAAAAATGTTTCTTTTGTTAGGTTTTTTAATTACTGGAAAAGAACTTGAAATGAAACTGAATCCAATACGGTACAGTAAGGAGTTGTATATTACCCACGTTATGTACTTGTAAAATATATTTAGGTATATCCCAAGTATGAAAACAGTATGGTAGATATGCATCAGTATTTTCTTAGAGAGTTGTTTTGATAATGGATAACCTCCTTGGCGTCATAATTTGGGGGAGCTTCTATTACTCTGTGGAATCCCAGGTAAAAATTTAAACTTTTTAAATCTTCTAAAGAGGAATACATTGCTGGGGGGAGGCTGATAGGTATATGTTGGAACTGTTTAGCATTTTTTTCTTTTTTTTTTTTTTTTTGAGTTGGGAGTCTCGCTCTGTCTCCCAGACTGAAGTGCAGTGGCTGCTCCCAGCCACCGCAGCCTCGACCTGCTGGGCTCCGGCGATCCTTCCACCTCAGCCTTCCGAGTAGCTGGAATTACAGGCACGCACTACCACGCCCAGCTGATTTTTGATTTATTGTAGAGATGAGGTCTCGCCAAGTTGCCCAGGTAGATCTCGAACCTGCGGGCTCAGGCAATCCACTCACCTCAGCCTCCCAAAGGCATGGGATCACAGGCTGAGCCACTGAGCCCGGCTGAGACTTTGTTTCTAAGAAAAAATTTTTTTGAATTCCCTAGGTGTGGTGGTACATGCCTCTAGTTCCAGCTACTTGGGAGGCTTAGACAGGAAGATTGCTTGAGACTGGGAGTTTGTGGTTGCATTGAGCTATGATTGAGCCACTGCACTCTTGCCCAGGCAACTGAGCGAGACCCTTTCTCAAAAAAAGAAAAAAAGGAAAAAAAGAAAAGAGAAAGTAGCGTAACTTACATAGTATTAATAGTATTCATAGATATTGCTTAATTTGTATTTATTTCTTTAAGTATATTTTACTTAAGGGAACTTTGTAACGAATCCTTTTTAGTTAATTTATAACTATGCTCTGATTTGACTGTTTTACACTTCAAAGTCTTTTATACCATAGCTTTTGGAACACAGAGAACAGAGTTAACACACATAGAGTTAGTTCTCAAATAGAATTGTTTTAATCATTTGTGTGATATGTGTTAGAAATTTGTGACTACCATTGTGACTCAGGTACCTAACGTCAGACTACAAGTGGACAGCCAGCTATCTCAAAAAAACCATTTTCTAGCCTACAGTGTTCTTTGCATGTATGGGGATTTCAAAGGAAATTATAAAGCTAAAAAGAACAGTTTCTGTCCCAAAAGAGCTCTGCCTTCTGGTTAAGTGTCTCTTTTGGACAAAATAAGTTTGAATCTACTTAAGGGATTATTGATCAGTAGCTTATAATCATGCACTAAATCATTTTGGCATCAAGTGAAAGTTCCAAAAAAAAAAAAATCAAGCAAATGATCAGGTTGTTAGGGTGTATTCAACTGGGAGAATAGAGTATGTAAATATAAGTCCATTTGCCTAACTGAATTTAGAAACTAATGTAAAGTGTTGTAGATTAATAAATAAATGACTAAATCATTATTATGATTTTAAAAAGAAAACAAAATATGTGGGACAAATGTAAATCACAGAACTTCTGCATTTAGATGTGCAGTTTTTGCACGACACACAGCTGTTCACCCAGAGCCGGAATAGAGTCTACCATCCCAGCCCAACACATCTGAGGCTGTATCGGTCCCTAGAAGGTGTTCTTTCCTAATTGCCCTTTTGAAACTTGTAACAGGCCAGGCGCGGTGGCTCATGCCTATAATCCCAGCACTTTGGGAGGCCAAAGTGAAAGGATTGCCTGAACCCAAGGGTTCAAGACCAGTCTGGGCAACTTGGCGAGGCCTCATGTACAATAAATCAAAAAATTAGCTGGGTGTGGTGGCGTGTGTCTGTAGTTCCATCTACTTGAAAGGCTCAGGCGGAAGGATCTCCTGAGCCCAGCAGGCGAGGCTGTGGTGGCCATGAGTGTGTTGCTGCACTTCAGCCTGGGTGACAGAGTGAGGAGACTGACTCAAAAAAAAAAAATTATTGAATTAAGACAATTTTCTTTCTCTTTTTTTTTTTTTGAGTCAGAGTCTCACTCTGTTGTCCAGACTGGAGTGCAGTGGCCGCTTCTGGCCACCACAGCCTTGACCTGCTGGACTCAGGCGATTCTTCCACCTCAGCCTTCCAAGTAGCTGGAACTACAGGCAAGCGGCTACCACGCCTGGCTAATTTTTGATTTATTGTAGAGATGATGTTTTGCCAAGTTGCCCAAGTGGGTCTCGAACCCACGGGCTCAGGCAATCCATTCACCTCAGCCTCCCTTTTTTTTTTTTTTTTTTTTTTTTTTTGAGTTGGAGTCTCACTCTGTCACCCAGGCTGGAGTGCAGTGGCACACTCACGGCCACTGCAGCTTCAACCTGCTGGGTTCAGGTGATACTTCCACTTCAGGCTTCCAAGTAGCTGCAACTATAGTCGTGTGCCATTATGCGCAGCTAATTTTTTTATTTACTGTAGAGATGAAGCCTCGCCTAGTTACCCAGGCTGGTCTCGAACCCATGGGTTAAGACAATCCTCTTACCTCTGCCTCCCAAAGTGCTGGTATGATAGGCATGAGCCGCTGTACCAGCCTGCATTTTTTTTTTTTTTGAGCTGGAGTCTCACTCTGTCGCCCAGCCTGGAGTGCAGTGGCATGCTCACGGCCATCACAGCCTTGACCTGCACAGCTCAGGTGATCCTTACGTCTCTACCTTCCTAGAGGCTGGAACCACAGGCATGCGCCACCACACCTGGCTAATTTTTTTGATTTATTGTAGAGATGAGGTCTCGCCAGGTTGCCCAGGATGGTCTCAACCACCTAAACTCAGGCAATCGTCTCACCTCAGCCTGCCAAAGTGCTGGGTTTACAGGCCTAAGCTACCACACTGGCTTGCATTTTTCTTAAGAAAGGGATATTCTACTATACCAGGTGGTAACCCCCCCCCCAAAAAACCTGTCCATTTTGTAGAGGGTGGGTTCTTCATACAGGCTTCCCCTACTGGATAAGTGTTCTAGGAATCTGTTGGTATCAGTGTACCAGCTAGCATTGTGAGAGGCTGCATTTGGCCTCAGAGAAAATTTTTTTGGAGGTTTTTCCAAGTCTTTGCCCATTTCATGATGGGTGATATGTGATGGCCACTCTGCACTGAGTGTTCAGCAGTTTTTGACCCAAAATAGCATGACCCCCTGTCCCACTCTTCCTATTCACCTGATCTTGCCCTCAGCAACTTTTTTGTTTCCCCTGTGAAAGAAGTCCTCAAAGGGAAATGTTTTGCCAACGTGGAAGAAGTGAAAGAAAAAATGGCAGAAGCACTAAAAGACATCAAAATTGATGAGTTCAAGCCGGGCTCCGTGGCTCAGCCTGTAATCCCGCGCCTTTGGGAGGCTGAGGTGAGTGGATTGCCTGAGCCCGCGGGTTCGAGACCC